AACTCAACTTCACTAGATAAAATCACTACTTAGCTGCATTGTCCTGGTTCACATTCAAACGGGTTGTCAATCTGTTGTCATGAGTAGCACTGGCGTATTCGTAAAAAACGTATATCCCTTTGCTTGGTGTCCATCCAAAATACATGTGTTTTCTGGTTGCCTGCTTGTGTTCAACTAAACTCACTAACCTGACCTAATTATATTACAACTTAGTTGCTAAGCAACAGTGACTGTTGCTGGGCAGACATTCTATTTTGTCCTATATGTAAATTAGTTGGATTTCGTGGTCAGTGACCTAATTGGTATACTAAATTTTATCAGCTCACAATATTTTAGTCCATGTCGGTCTTTAGACGGCAACAACACATAGGTAGACGCTTGTTTGTAAACAATGAAACGCTATGGCATTCTGACGCATGAGCAGGTGATGACTCCCCCGTTTTAATTAATTATCTTAGAAATTTCATTAAATAATACGGATTTATCCTATGAATACTGCATTGCAACTGCATGCCGTCTATTATCCTGAGACTGTGAACAATCTACGAATAATTGACTAGTGAATAGGTCTGGAGCGATATGGACTATCTTTGCGTACGGATCAGTCTGCGCATGCGAGTTCCCATGGTAATCTACTGAAGTCACGGAGACAGCCAATCAGTTATATGTGCCGTCCACGTATTTACATGGCGATCACCAGACCATTATTGACTGGATTATGTATTTTCTAAAAACTTTTTCGTTAATTTTGGATTTGAGGGGCATCATTTCCTACGGGTTAAGCAAGCATTTGAATATAATTATTTTATGAAAGGTGGCTAAAGTTGGATTTGGCATTCAAAGTACGTCTAAAATGAGCAAAAACGTATAGGCCCTCAAACTTGTTTCCATGGAAATTGTACCATATTTTGAGTACTATCGTCTATAACTCCCACAGCTTGACAAATTGACAAATTAGTTTTATACCTTATCAATGCACAGTTTTTATCGATGTTGTTGTTTGGTTCAACATCCCAGTTGGTGAAAAACAAAGATACACCGTCTGAATCCAACCAATCGTCTTCATTTGTATCGTCCGAAGCATCAAACCAGTAATCCCCTGCGTATGAACAATGAGGTATGTGTTGCAAATAAAAGCTTACGTAATTGTCATCTTAGTGTAGATTGAAGTGTAACTAATTTATTAAGACGCTGGAAAATAATAACATTGAAATGTTTTCCAATTACATCATTTTGTACTGTGCTCGATGACTGGCTTTTGGATTCAACTGCTATTGGAATTAATAGATATATATTTCATTTTGATTTGTTTCACCTTGGCCAATTATGGATAGTTGGGTCACAGATCGTGTCTATAAATGAATCGTGAATGAAACATATGTGCGCCCTCTATCGGACATAACAAGTGTTTGCACTCATCAAATACCAGTGATATGTCACGTGACTTGCTAGAATGCATAACTGTTATAAAAATGACACAAAAAAGCACAATCCATGCTGCGTTAATAAAGTTCACCATTGATTAACTAGCGTACATGTCATCGCTTTGTGTGCACTTGTAACCATTATAGCGCAAAGGCTCATGGGCCAATGTACGAGTGATTGACGTGTTTAATTTGAAACGTAAGTCAACGGGTATTATTAATAAATTAGAAATATTAAATAGCACAGAACACAAACCTTCCTCTTGGCTCATCAACTCAGCTATGTGGTCCTGAACTTCTTGACTGCTGATCTTCGCTAAAGCGCCCTCTAGCGACGCACATGATTGTCGAGATTCGTTAATTGTCTCATTTTTGTGAATGAGTTGATAAATGACGTCATCAAGAGAAGCTGAAAACAAAAAGTGTTTGTAAGTAAAATTAATATTTAATTAACAATTGAACAATGTACTCTATGTGGAAAAATAGGACACCTTGTTTTAGTTTGTACATTATCATGATCATGATACCAAAGGTTAGAGTAAACTGATTAAAATAAAATCCTTGTTTGGTCTTTTTTTTAACCTGTGTTTGATTTATTTATTTTTCATATAGTTTTTATTTTAATTTATATTCATCAACTGGTGTGTGTGTGTGGTGACAGTTTTAGTAATACAAATACAAAAAAACAAATTACTAAATAAACTTTGAAAAATCAAATAAAATAGGGCTATTTTATCGTACATTGTGCACATAGTGTTTTTTGTTGTGGTACATATAGATAAGCTTGTATGAAATGGGTAGATACAGATCTATTCTTTGTCGCGGAGGCTACTGAGGTTGTATACATTTGTATGTCGCCCTAAGTTGTAGTTGTCGGAGCAAGGACCGGTGTCGTCGTACTACCACCTCCCCGACATATTTTAGGGTTCAAAGCCGTTGGCACAGATGGCCTTTCCGAAGTTGCAAATGAGTATGGAAGAATATTCGGAATACTATATGAGGATAAAGAAGTCGACTAAGCTGTAAAATACACTTACATGATCGCTTCACTATGGCGTGTGTTTTCGGTTCCTTTTGGGTCTACAAAGTAAAAAATGGTATGTGACTGTATATAGATTGCTGGTCGGTTATCGATAATTGTTTTAGTGTCAGGGGATAATCTCTTTCTCTGGGGTTCTCCACACTGTCAGGGGGAAAACTCGTCTCGTCTCTCTATATCTCGTCCCCTTGAGGTACGGGATCGGGAAAGTCACTTTAAGTCAAATAAGACACACACAATGAAATACGTTTCAGCTCTCGTATTAGTCGATCTTTCGGACACTCTATAAGACACAGCGCCCTGGGGAAAAGTCCCCAAGACTGTCGCAAGGCTGAACCAAGACTCGCCCAAGACTGGACTGCGTCAAGGCTCGCCCCTGGACTCTCTCGGACTGCGTCTGTCGTGGAGTATCCGCCAAGACCAACTCAAACTCTCTTTATTCATTTTCAAAACTCTAACCAATTACAATGCAGTAAAAAGACTCTAGGGCGTAACCTTCAATCATAAAGCCAATCACACTAAGTACTGAATACGTCATATCTTTTGATTAATCGTTCACTACATTAATAACTATGGATGTAAACTGTCAGAATCGCGACGGATATCTCGTAATTAGTTCCAAATCACTGAGCCAAGTTCCGTTCAAAACTTCAATTAGGCCTAAACGATGACAGACATAACACAGCAATTCGCTAATAATCAACTAATTAAGTCGGTCAATAGATACGCAAAAACAAATTCATGACATTAGTATGAAGACGTAGGGCGAATAAACTCCGTTGATATTGCGAGACACGCAACATTTTTTTAATGAAACCACCACTTTAGAATGGATTGAAGATGCAATGTGAATGGGAGCATGTAATTTTTAAAAATGTTGCATATTGATGAATGCACTGTGTCAGGATTTATAATGAAGTAAAGCAGGTTATTCTTGTAACATATAATTGAGTATTTGTTCAACGTAATAAATAACAATTAGTGTTTTCATCGAAGAAATACAATACAACAGTGCATGCCGGGAAGGTATTGCAAGCAACATTTTCAATTCAATCAAATGTGGTTGTCAACATTTAGTGACAAACAGTTATATTATTATTATTCCTTTATTTCACCAGAATGACCATTATTACAGAACTTATAAACAAAATACAATAGTAGTAATTCTGGCGTGGACCATGAAAATAGTCCTTATGGACTAGTCCAGTCCATGGCCCAGACTGTCAAGTAGAAATTTACAAAGTAAGGGAAAGGTAAATTAATATTTACATAACGAATAGTAATTTATAACATTTAGATATAAACATGTTTAATAATAATATAAACGAACTACTGGTACAATGAGTTTATATGCAGACAAAAAGAAAAAAAAAATGCAGAGAAGTGGGAAGTAATAGAGGAATTTAACAAAGCAAATAATGTTTCATTTCATATTTAAATTTGTTGCTGTTGTTGATATTTTAAAGGGAGTCTGGAAGTGAATTCCAGTGTTTTACTGCAGCAAATTTAAAATTGTGTTGTGAAACTGTAAGTTGAGCAACAGGAATTGACAAGTTACCGCTAGACACTGACCTTGTGGAATAGCAATGTGGGTAATCAGTATGTGCATATGCGCATATCTGTTGTGTTTAAGGTCGAAGATAAATAGACAGGTTTGTTTTTTACAAAGTTTGTGAATATCAAGTATGCGTAATTGAATAAAAAGAGGAGCAGAATGTGCTTTAAAGTGCGAGAAGGTGATAAAGCGCACAACTGTTTTTGTAAGAGCAGAACTGGTTCAAGAAGTGTTGGGTATGTGTTTCCCCAGATTTCAATGCAGTACATTAAGTGTGGTAGAATAAGTGTGTTGTAAAGTAGGATGAGAATTGATCTCGGAACATAGTGACGAATGAGAGATATAATGGCCACTCTGGGACTAATGGTTTTCACAATTTTGTCAATATGAGAATTCCAATTTAGGCATGGGTCAATGATAAGTGGCTTTAGACACGCCCTCTATCGACGTATCATTGATTGCGAGCTGTCCCTCCACGTTTACTTTTCTTTGCGGGGTTTTCAGGATCATATAGTTTGTTTTTTCTATATTAATTGTTAATTTATTAGCATTGCACCACTATACAACATTTTCAAAATCATTGTTAATATTAGAAAGATCAATAGAGTTAGTTTGCAGGAATTTAAATAAATTTGTATTATCCGCAAAGAGGCGGAAATTGAAAACATCAGTAGAGTGGTTAATATCATTTATGTAGAGAAGAAAAAGTAAAGGCCCTAATATTGATCCCTGGGGCACCCCGTATTGAATCTGTCTGAATGTGGATGCAGTTCCGTCAATGGTTACCGTTTGGTTCTATTAGTTAGGTAGCTTCGGAACCACAAAAGCGGGAGACCCCTTATCCCATGATAAGCCAGTTTTTCAAGGAGAATATTGTGTTCAATAGTGTCGAAAAAATATTAAATATAACATTTCGTTAACATTGCATCTTTAAATGAATGGCGCGATTTATTCGATAGCACACACGGACACAAAAATACAAATATTTGCAAATATTGAATTTTAGCATGACTGACATTTTTTTCCTAAAAGTCTTCATCAGAGCAAAAATTTGAACTGAGATTGTAAGGAAGTGTCACAATTGTATAATTATATTCTTATAACAATAGTCTTTCAAATATTGAGTACATCGTCTTGAAGGTTTAAAGGTCACGATTGTTTATTTTGTTTCTTTGAATGTTATCAAGGTTAAACATTACCGCCGTATTTTGGTTTATATAGACCAACCAGTAAATTGAATTTAAATGAAAAAATCAGAAATGGATCGCAATATACACGAGCGTATTCTGTTTCTTTCCTGTTTTTGTGGGTGAAGTTGTGTTGACCAAGTGTGACGTTGTTGTCTTGGTAATACTAATACTTGGTAATAAGAATTAAACGATTGAAATGTAATATGTTATCCAGTGGTGCCGAAAAAAGTTACCGGTGTAAAAATCACTCTGTTTAGAATTCCTTACCTCGGTCACGGTGGCGTATGTGAACAGTCCTAACAAATGCAATATAACAATCCAAACGAAAAAAACGCTGACTAAAGTCCGAAAAGCCATCATTGGTATTTTCTCCCAGCCATTGCATCTAGGTCTTCGAAAACATCTGAATACTTCAAAAAGTACGACACCGTTAGCAATTATTAGTAATTTGCACATTAATCTTATTACTTCACATTCCATCAGTAACTGAGTACCGGATTGACATATCAGCGACAAGGCATCTGCTCCAAAAATGAGGCCATTACAAAGTTGATACGGTTAGTTCTACATTTTATTGCCCTGTTATGGCGATGTAGATGGTTGTAATATATTTAGGAAATAAGAAAATAATGTAGAGTAAGAAGTGATTAATTGTGTCATTGGCAGCGGGTCTGAGAGAAGAAAAATACAACAGCGTAACTCGTCGCGACTCTTTAATTTTAGAGGGTGCGGCTGGAAATGGCCCCCAAAAGTGAGGCGGAGTAAAATTGACATTGCATTCGAGTTCTCATTTTGATGACTGCTCTTGAACATGACGTGCGGTTTATTGCCCATCATGTAGTCACGTGATTTTGATCAATGTCAATTGATAGGTCTTCTATTTCTATTCCAATGTATTCTAATTATGGTCCGTGCTACTCTAGTCTAGTCTATTTGAGTCAAACACACTACCCGGCTAGATATACATCCATTTGAGAAGATTATAATTAAAATACGTCGCCATGCGCATGCGCGGGAATTGAGTCCCAGGCGACGATAACAACATACATTAAAAAAATCGGGAAATCGGGAAATCAGTATATGCAGTATAATCTGAAGTAGTAGTGTTGTAATTTTTACTGCATCGATCAGGTATCTCCGTTGGATTGTATAAGACACCTTTGTTTACCCTACTTCGCAGGTTCTCTCTGTTTTCTATTTGAAATGAATCAACATGTCACTGAAATAATGTTGGTATAATTATGTCAATAAATCACCACAGGTGCGTCCAGCTGTCAAATGTGTACACGCCTCGGTACAGTTTAGTATATGTGCGATTTAAAGTACTCGAAAATAGTATTACACAATTTACGTCGTGAGTAATTATCTAGTTTCCGAGACGAGGATGGGCTGAAGTTCATCTTAATAGTTTAACGGGCGGTCGTCGCGCGTGTTCGAATTTCATGTAAGCAAATGTATTTTACACGCCACTGTGTACATAGCTATGAGTCCCGTATTGAAAAGGGCGCGGCGCGATAACCACCGCCCTCTAAAGCGAGGGGAGTCGCCACCTGCGCATGCGGCAGACGACCACAGCGTATTTAGTATGTCGTAGTTTAGCGTGTGTTTGTGATCCTTGCTCAAAACATGGACTCAGTTCTCACGCGTGCGCAGGTGACGCACCTCCGCTTTATAGTTTATACTGCCCGGCTAAATTTTCGACCATAAATGGTTTTCGTTGAAGTCACGTCCAAGAATCGCGTGTTTAGGACATTGAATTTTACAGACGAAAAGTCGTATTTCACATATATAATATTACAGGATGAAAACAGTTGAACTGTGTGGTGTCCGAAAAAAATTATTGTAAAATATTGAGTGCAAAAATGTAATATATTCGACGACACGGACGCTTTAATACTATATCAATGGGTTTATACACAAACATGTGATTCATTGTGGTCCATTCAAAACAGATCTCCATTGAACAAAATTGACTTACTGGTGGTTATTACTGGAATAACTGATTGTTAATACTATATTTTGATATAATAGTATACTGCTAAGGTGCTCTAACGCAAAAATCAACAAACAACAAACAAACACACGAGTAGCTTCACAGCATCCTAACTGCCAGGCAGATATTAATATTTACAATAAAGACATCACATATAAACGTCATAAAGTTTGCTAACTGGTTTTACGTCCACCGTCAGTAATTACCGTCGTGATGTGGACTTGTGAATGATGTATTTATGTGCCGA